CAGAATTAGAAAGTTCAGGCTGCCTAAATGAGGACTTTAAAATAATAGAACAAACTAGTAAGTACACAAATATATCTTTATTAATGGGACTCCCATTTTGGGGAAGTGTTAATTTTCTTTATCATTCATAAGAGATCAAATACTATAAGTGATTACTGTCTTTTCTAGTAATGTTTATTTTAAAGAAAAATGAAAATGTAAAAAGCAAAATTTAAGAAGAGGGAACAGAAGGAGTCGATGGTCCACTTCTCTAGTGATTGCTCTATCACATTACTCCATTTACACTTAGAAACAAACCTAAAATCTCAGCAATCCCAAACTACTATTTACTTTGGTTTTTAGCCATACAGGAAAATTTTTATCATTTTCCCTCACTCTCATTTTTTATATGCTCTCTGCAGTTCACTTCGCCAACACTGAAATGTTCAGCATCAAGCTTACCATTCCTTTTCCACTTTGCTCTTAATTCTGCTAGCCAGAGAGAGTTAAAAGGACAGGATTAAGATTCATTAGACATGGTTCTAAGAAGAATTAAAGGGCTTGTTCAAGGACCATAACATCTGCTCAAATTCCTGCCTAAACAACCAAGATTCCAATCAAAGAGAAGAGAGGGAAAGCCAGTCAGAGTAAACTGAAGTCAGTGAGTGTTCTCTCAGGCAGTAACCCTGACACCAGAGAGAGGCTTAGTAACATTGCACAATTCTTTCTGTGAAGTTATTCATGGGGCAAATGGGAGTACATGAGTGGAAGAAGAGGGAAGTAGCAAGGTAAAGATTGAGGATCCTTTAAAGAAGTTTTCGCCTGGCTAACAAAACAAGCTGGGACACGCAAGGCAGATAAACACAGCTGTTTGGGGCTGTCACTTGGGACTCAGGAGCCAAGGTGTCCCACTGTAATGAAAAGTGCACCACAGTGTGAGTCAAGTGTCTGGGGATCCAATCCTCTCTCTGCTAACTAGCTGTGTGATGAAGAACAAGCCTTTCAACTTCACTAAACTCCCTCTCCTTATTTTAGAGAAAATTGGTTGATGGGATAAAATGGCAGTACTGCACAGAAGTGCTCTTGAGCCAAGAGTTCACACACTCATTGTATAACTTTGCTGAGTCTTGATTTCCCCCACCGAAAAAATAGGAGAATAATACTTAACTTATAGAATTGGGATTAAGGGTTAAAAAATAATACCCATTAAAGCACAGTACCTGAAACAAAGAGTTACACTCGTTTTATTTTGTATTTCCAAGGTCTAAAATAATTTGAGAGGTATAAAATCTTGAGGGCCAAATGTAATGCTATCTTAAATTCACTACAAGTTAGTTTGGCATCTATTTTAATTATTACTAATCAATACAGTCAAAATAAATGTTCTTACATATTTTCTGATATTCTATATCCACTCAAAAACCTCAAGTACCATGTCAAATATGAATACTACAATCTTGGAAAGACAATAATGATTAAAGAAAATTCAGTTTTGATTTGTATAGTATCTTCCTATAGTATAATCACTCCTCAAAATCCATGGAGAGATTACTCCAGCACCACCTTCAGATGGTTACTAAAATCTGCCCATGTCCTAGCCCCTTATATAAACAACACAGTTTTGGCATATAATCTGCAGATATCCCTCTGTATGCTTTACTTCTAGATTACTTATAATACTAATACAAATGTGATAAAAAATAGTTGTTATACCTTATTATTTAGAAAATAATAAGGAAAAGAGACTATTTTCTTGTTTACTACAGATACTTTTCTTCAAATATTTTTGGTCTGCAATTATTATATCTATGGATATAGGACCCTCAGATGCAAGAGAATAGGCCAAGAATGCAAGGTATATGTATAGCCATCAGGTTTTTATACAGAATATGATAAAATGGTAATATACTCCAAGCCAAAATGTTCAGGTACATCAATATTTTAGATTTTAAATTTAAGAACATATATCTCATGCAAAATCAAGAAATTTCACCTTGTTTAATATACTAAAGTAAGCAAGCTAGAAGTCAATTTAGGAACTCAAGCTAAATCCACAGAAAATTTTTGTCAAGGACTATATATAATTGTACTTAAATCAGTCTATAATATTTTCTTTCCATTAAAATGTGTATTTCTTTAGAATTATGAAAAATCAAGGGAACTAAACAGAAATATCACAAAAGTACAAATAACAAACAAGTACATAAAAAGTATTCAACATCTTTAGCTATCATGGAAATGCAAATCAAAACAACACTGAGAGTCCATCTCTTCTCAGAACACTCATCAAAACTACAAACAGGATGGCCGGGGATTTAGCTCAGTGGTTTGGTGGCCTGCCTTGCAAGCACAAGGACCCGAGTTCAATCCCTGGTACCAAAAAAAAAAAAAAAAACACTACAAACAAACACTCGTTAAATGCTGGTGAGGATGTAGTAGAAAAATGAACACTTCTTCATTGCTAGTGGAAGTGCAAATTAGTATCACCACTATAAAAAGTCAATATAGAGAGGTTCCTTTAAAAAAAATAGAGCTAACCCTAAGTAAAAAGAGTAAAAAAGGGAAAAGAAAAAAATGTGAGAGAATGAAAAGATGATAATAAAGTGTTTGTAGATGGGGAGGGGAGGAGGGGGTGAAGGGAGGGCAGAGGTAAGGGGAAAAAATGAGAATCAAGACTTGTCATGTAGAGAGGTACAAGATCCCAACAATGAATGTAACTGTACTGTACCCCTAAAATGTACCAATAAACTCAATTAAAGCTGAAAAAAATAAAAATTAAAAAAAATAGAGCTAATATTTGATCTAGCTATACCACTCCTTGGTATATACCCTAAGTAATTAAAGTCAGTATTCCATAGGGATATCTGCAAGCCGATGTTTATTCAGTACAACTCAAAACAGCCAAGATATGGAACCAATCCATGTGCCCATTAATGGGTGTATAAAGAAAATATGGATATATGCACAGTGAAAATGGAATATTATTCAGCCATAAAGAATGAAATTTTTCCATTTGCAGGAAAATAAATGGATGTGGAGAACATTGTGTTGAGCTAAGTAAGCCAGACTCAAAAGAATAAACATTTTACTTTCTCCCTAATATGCAAAAATCTAAAAAATAATAATAATAATATTAAGATAGAAGGGAGACTGTTATTAGATGCAGTCCTTCTGTGTCACTGTGCTGCTAGTGGTGACTGTTTTTCTAAAAGAAATCTGTAAAGAGGTTCTTATAACTGAAAAACTCTAGCCAGTGATCTACTGTTTGTAGCTTTTCTGTAAAAATATTCTAAAATTTAAAGTTTACTGAAGTCTTGAAGTAGAAATTGTCAATATGGCCTTGATACTTAAACACAGATATACAAATGAAGGCATGAATATACATATATCTCTACATTTTCTATTTCTTTCCACTGAGAAAGTCAAGAATCAATGATACTTCAGTGTCAATGGGCACACCTATCATCCAAATTTGGTTTGTAAATACCATTCCCCCAAAAAGAGAGCTCCTTGGGAAAGTGCTAATTCTGGAACTTGGAAAGAAATCTACCAGGAAGCCTACAACATGCTGTACAGAAACTAAGTAAGCTTTCAAAAACAAAAAAAGGTCATGTCAAAATTATATAGCAATTAGAGACTGCCACTGGCCAAATCTGGGACAATTTAAACATCAAAAAAGAATAATGACTGCAATTGACTGAAACACATGAAAACTGAAATTATGATAAATAGTGACACTGAAAAAAGAGAGCCAAGAAAAGGAAAGAAAAAGCATCACAACCAATAAGAGGAACAACTCATTTATCACCAAGAACACTTAAACTGAAAATGGATAATCAAAATGAAACAGCTAAGTATTTATCCTTTGTTTCCCGAAGGAATTATATTTAAGATTATTTCTGTATTAATATCAGTAATAAGAAAAGCTCTTCTATTAGAAGAATTCCAGTAAAAAAATGTAAATACAATAACCAAATTAGAAAATTACCAATTTGTAACTCAATAAAATAAATGATTCATCAGGTAAGAATCAAAAATGAGGGATAAACCTATTAAGTGAAAGAATGACAAATATCTGGATATTGACAAGTAACCAAGTTATTTCTCCACAAAGTTTTTGTCTAAGTATAAAGTACTCATATTACAGTAGAAAAATTATATGGAATCAACTTAATCTAGGGTCTATCTTAATTTCTAGCCACTAAATAATGGAACAACTTGACAATACATGCCACTTAATACAACAAAAAATGCAGTATGATTAAGCCTTTGATCTCCTCTACACCGTACTAAAAAAGAGATAAACAAGTTAAATGAAACTATAAAGGATCAATATTCTAGATAAGATATAGTCAAATTTAGAAATAAGGGCATGACTAGTAGTAGCCCCATGTCGAGTCCTACTTAGCTAACACAATGCCAGCTGGCCATATTTGGACAGTGTAGCATGGCTCACTACTTGCATAGTGGCTTACCATATATCATACACAAGAATATGCTCAGTGGTGCTATGCCTGCCTCGCAAGCACAAGGTCCTGCGTTCGAGCCTTGATGCCGCAAAAAAAAAAAAAAAAA